ACATCGGGATAACTCAGTAAATCTCAGCAGAGGATGCACAGGGCTACTTCACGGTCCTGAGAGGATGCTCCCACCAAGCTCAACTTCAGCAAACCATCCCCTGTGATGGGCTGTCCCCGGAGAGGCAGCTGTGGCAGCTGTGGCCGCGATGGGGCTGCATTCCCTGGGATTCACCGCACTTCTGAGGCGCGGGGACTTGCCGTGCTCTGAGAGGTCTCTCTGGAGCAGCCACACGAGATGTCCCACCCAGGGGAATGCTGTCCTGTGCCTGGGATGGGGAGGCAGAGCTGGGTGTCCTCGGAAAGTCTCGTGGCAGCTGTGTCAGCCTCAGGGCTGTCTCTGAGCACTGAACAGCATTTGGGGATTGGCTTATACATCAGAGGTTGGCTTCACCGAAGGCTTGGGTTTAAAATCTTGCCTTAATTCATCTCAGTTTTTAAAAAATCAAACAAAAAATGATGCTTATTCCAGGTTTGAGGGGGGAAAAAGAAAGATTGTGAGAGAGGAAAGAAGAGAAGACTGGAGGTCACTCTCAATTTTGACTCATTTTCAGCTTGTTCTTAGGAAGTATATTACTTAATCGTTTGCCAATTAATTTTCCCCTCATTTTATTAAAATCTTCCGTGTGCTTCCGAAGGGCTCTAGAGGGAGCTAAAAGCCTTTGAGAGGGAGGTAATGCGCTGTATGAGTTTGTCTGAACCTCAAGTATGCTGTTAAAACGAGGTGTAAAGCACATTCAGTGTATACTGGGAACAGAATGAAGGCATTTTTTACTCTCCGGAGGAACACTGTAAGTTTTAGTTTCTATATTTAATCCACTTAATATTTCGTTACAAGAATTCATATGATCATCAGTCACATGAAAGAAAAATCTGTCTCCTCTTCAGACTTATTTCCCAAAACACATATGTTTCATAAACAGCACAAGGTACGCAGCCAAGGAAAGGAAATCAGTGTCATGGTTATATTGGCTGAAAAGCTCAGAGCAGGATATTACCTTTCAAAATCTTTAATCCCTGCTGCACAGCCACAGGGAACGCCACGCTCTTAATTTATCTTGGTCACTTGGAGTAGCTTTTGGGCCAAGCAGATCATGATATTGCCCTAGGGAACTTTGGTTTTTTTAAAATCCTGTCTTGAATGTGAGGCTGCAAATACGGGTTCAATGTCTTGGTGGGAACAAAACCATTACCTCTGTGAAAGACGGCGAGCTGTGGCTTTGCGTGAAGCAATGTTCTCACATGTGCAGGCCCTGTCCTAAACCAATGCATGCCCATGAGAGCTTAGTGGGAAGTAGTTCTCCCTGCGGGCATGTGCCGTCACCCTGCAGACCCCTGGGCTGTGGGTTTTATGCTCTCATCGGCTGTCGCTGCTGCAGTGGTTGCATTTCCCTGCGGTGTGCTGAGCCATGACATTTGTCTGTGTCAGGAGGCTCAGGGCTTCAGTGGATCAGGCTAAACCCCCCTGGCTCACTTACACAGGTGATAGTGAGATTTTTTTATCCTAATTCTGGATTCCCATGTTTTCCCATGGCTCAATTCACGTTACAGAGTATAAAGGTCAGCCCCTGGTTGCTAGTCCCTGCAGGAGTTCCTTAACGAATGCCAGTGTATCATTTCCCTCCGTTCTTGACCGAATATAACAAATTGCATAAAGATTGGGAACGAATAGGTGAGGCATGAGAGGAAAGTTGGCCTCTCTCCCTGGCTTGCCTTTTCTGAAGTCCATGTGCAGGAACTGTCTTCTCTCTCTGGTGTGTTGCTTTTGTCCTTATGCAGCTTTTAATCCCTGTGTAGAAGAACAAAGTTTGCTTTGGGGACCTTTGTGAGTTTCAGAACTAATAATTGGGTTTGGGATTTAATAATTCAGCTGTAAATATACTTGTCATGTTATAGCTTGACATGGTAATATCTTGGCTCAGGGATACTTTTGTTCTGTCCAAAGATTATTTATTATGTAAAATTCCCACAGGCACAAATGTTAGAGACTTCTCCTGACTCCCTTCAGGTGCAAGTTACCTCCCTACTTTTTCTTCCAGCAGGTCTAAGTCTGTCTGTGCTAGTTTTGGTTCAAGGCCTTTAGCAATTTTTTACGTTGCCTGATCCTAGGAGAGCGCCCAGCACACTGCCCGTTGGCCTGGCCTGGGAGACCGCAGGACTATTTGCATCCTTACTGCCTGCAGGTGGTTGCATTTCCCATTTCTCTCCCATTCTGACGGACAGCCCTCTCAGAAGTCACCCATTTTCTTCGTTTCTCGGAACTACCCAGAGCTTCAAAAGTCACTGGTTGTTTTGACTGCCTCTGCTTTTAAGGCCTGGAAGCCCTCTGAAGAGGGCTGGTTTTCCCAAAAGTTTCCTGGAACTCAAAAGCTGCTTCACTACATCCAGCTGAAAAGTGGAAGCAGTTCAGGTCTGCCGCTGAAAACGTCAACATGTGTTTGGCACAACATGCACACACATGTGAGTGAGGCCATAAACTTCATTTCTGTAGGGCAGCTCTTGAGGTACAAATGTATCCAGGTGATTGTTTAACTTTCTACTCTCGTTCTTTACTTGCAAACTTTATTTAAGGCAAAACCAATACAAATGTGATGGTAAAATTTGTGCCTTTGGCAGGTTTCCCTCTACTGTCCAGCAAGAAACCTGGGCTACACTGGAAGGACAGCTCAGCCAGCTGTCAAAGTGGTCCTGGAGAGGATCGGTCCCAAGCACAGGTACGAAGGAGAACCAGGCAGAGCAGAATGAGCGTAACTACTGTTGGGGCCTGTCTGCTGTCAGCAGGCTGTCTGAGCATCCTCTGCTCTTTCAAAAAGTTTTGGTCCTCACAGTAACCACTACAGTTGGAGTTATGCCTGTGCTGTATGGAGGGAAGAGGCTTTGACGCTCTGATTGATATAACCTTTCCAAAATCGTGCGGCTAAGTCATATTTGCCGTGGGACTCAGACCTCGATTGCACTGAGAGTTAGGCACTAATCTGTTGTATCAGTCAACACGCAGGCACCCCCACGACACCCTTCCCTCGCAGCGGGAGGTTTAGCTGCCACGGGGATTTCCTTTGTGCCACAGTTTCTGCCCAAAGGAGAGGAAATCCTTCGAGCCTCTGTCCACTGGTGCTCCCGAGCTGGCTGTCGGTCTGTCCGTGTGCTCACGGGGCTGGATGGAAGCGCGTGGCATGTTGGGCAAGGGCCACGGGCCACCAGCGGTGGGGGGAGAGGGTATCACGTCTGAGTAGCTTAAATGCCACTTGATCGCTGTGCATCACTGGGCAAAGGGCAAGTGCCAGCACCGGCCTTGGAGAGCAAATCTGGGAGCTGAGGTAAGGGCTCGCGTAGTGCCAGCCATAGGAAACCTGGCATAGGAGACTGGGGATTTCAGGCCGTTACAGCCCTTAGACATAGGTGTGCCTGTGTCTAATGCTTACTCCTTATATCCGCTGGGCAGAAGACTTCTTTTCTTGATTTGCAGCAGGCCCTTGGCTCCACACTTCCCACAGCTCAGGACCCTCTTCAGCTTCCTTCAGGACCTAGGATTTCCATTGTATTTTTTGCTTTTTTTAATTTATTTTTTTTTCAAGGCTGAGGAAGGGTGGGCCTGCCATAAATGTAGCACAGCAGCAGAAGTCGTGACTGACCATCGCAAGCAAAGGGCAGCACGTCCCCAGCACTCAGAGCCAGGAGGAACAGGGACCAGCCCATGTCCCCCATGTCCCAGCCTGTTGTCCTCATCCTTGGGTTAAACATGATTAAAATTGCTTGGCCTCAGGGTCTGCGTTAGCAAAAAATCAAGTCTTCCACGTCCACCGTGGCAGTTGAAATCCGGTCCAGGACAATAGGGCCAGGAAGGGAACGTCCCAGGGGAGCAGAGCTGCACAATGCTGCCTGGCCACGCCACGCACCAGGAGAGGTGTCTCCGTGCAGCTCCCACTCTGTAAGCAGTGCTTACCGGCCTTTTTCTTACTCTAAAGAGAGAGGCTTAAGAGGGTGTTTGTTTGTTTATTGGTGTTTCTCATGTTTTTCTATCTGAGATCCTGGCCAATATTAATTTTAGTCCTCAAATACAACTGTGAAACAGGGAGTAATCATTATTGCCTTACTTCTGGTGCTCCTGGGAAATGAGAAGTCAGATTAACGGTTTCACCCGTGTGAATTCGGGAATCTGGCACATAAGTGGAAACAGGAATTGAACCTTCACACCATCCGTTATCACATAGCATTGAGGATGAAATGCCTCCCTTTTAAGAAGGAAAAAACCCCTCTAGTTTTGGTCTGCTGGCTAGATAATGTGGGCATTTATCCTTGTTACTATCTCCAGCAGAATTCTGTGGCTAGAGTAATGAGTTTAAATCTTCACCAAAGTAAAAATAATCATGAGAGAGAACTAATTGAATTGTTTAAAACTACCGTCTTGCATTTTACAGTCTTTTCTGGTTCACTTCATTCATTCCTACCTGCACTATATAAGCATGCAACATTATAAAAACAGTTAGAGAGAATGAATGATGGTCTCTTGTGCTTCATCTAAGGTGATGCAACTGGAATGCACACGGGAGAATAGAGCAGATCTGCTCTTGTTTATTTTCCTGTAGATAGGGCTGTTTCTTTCTAGGGAAAACATGGTAGGCAATTCATAAAGATATGACAGATTCTTAGCAGGAATAACATTATTTTTAGACTACTAAAATTTCCAGTAGTATTAGATCTCCGCTCCTAGAGGAATATTAGCCCTTTAGGGAGAAAAGGTTTTCTTCTTATTGTATTATCATCTACATATGTATGTGTGTATAAATTAAATATTATGTTTATTAGTATTACATTAAGATTAAAATTGATTAAAATATTACATGAAATAAAAGATACACTCAACTGTATTTTTCTACCCCAAATATTATCTTTTTTTCATGCACTTCACAGCTGGCTTCTTACAAGAAACCACCAGAAGTTACAAGAGGACATTTCAAACCCCACAGCCCAGTATTTCAAAGAAAAGAAAAAGCCAGAGAGATGCCTGAAGCCATCCATCTCTATGTGCCCCATTGTCCTTTTCAGAGCAGCACCAGAGGTTCTCCACGGACCCCTCCTGGGAATGGGACACTGGCTGCTGATTTTTCCCATCCTGAAGATACAGATAGTGACGTGGGGACACACAGAGCCCAGGGCTGGAAGGAAAAACCCCAGAAATATACCTCTGAACCAGAAGATTTTAGTAGGAAGACAAAAGTGCTGTCATCTCTGGATTTGAAAGAGAAAGACGGCAAAAATACAAGGCACCCAGAAGAAAAGCTTGAGCAAGAATTGAAGGAGGCAAAGAAGAGGCTGGTGCTTTGTACTCAACAGCGACCCTTGTGTGATTCAAACAGGATGGACTTAGGTGGAACCAGACCAGGGTATCGAAACAAAGGAGTGCTGTGGACCTGTGAGGAGAAGGATGCTGACTGGAAAAAAGATGTGGTCAAACTGTCTGTTTGTCCTGTGCCTCTCTTATTTGCAGATGATGCTCCACCAGCTTTGCCAGTTAATACAAAAGATGCTCTGAGGAGTCCAGATGCAGTTGCCAGGGAGCACACAGCTGGCCAGCCGAAATCACCACTGAGGCTCATAGCCAATGCTATCAAAAGGTCCATTTTGGAGCCTCTAACCTCATCTCCAGAAGGACTAAAGCAGGACTCGGACAGCAAAGTCAAAGCCTCTTCAGAACAAACTTTCTTCAGCTTTCCCAGTACTCCTGCCTATTCCCTAAGCCAAAGGAACAGTAACAATAACAGAGCAAATAACACTCAGCCACAGCAGCTTAAAGTAGGGGAGTGGGCAGGAGAATATTTAGGAAATGGGAGCCCTTTCTCAAATCCATTTAATTTTTCTGTCGGCTCTGAAGAGAGATCTCTAAGCAAGGAGGTATCCTTCCCCGTCTACAGTTCTCACGCCAGGCCTTCCAAGACAACCGGTATACCTCAGAAATCATCTTGCACTAGGATGGAGGATGTCCCAGGACTCCTAGAAAAGTTTACCTTTAAAGAGACTCCTCCAGGGGCTCCCAAGGATGACATGTTTATTTGTAATGAAAAGTACCTCCTTCTTTCACCTCCAGAGCCCAAGAACACCTCCAAGGACAATCTGGATGACTCTGCACAGAAGGGTAGTCTTGGGTTGCTCTTTGATAGACTGAGAAGTAAAGTTCATGACAGAGAAAGGAATTCCTTTGTGTCATCTCTGCCTTTCATGAAGGACCGTTCTCCAGAAGACAGGCTATGTTATCCTTCCACAGGTGAGGACCTGAGTGGAATTATTTTTATTATTCTTAAATGATGTTGATGATGTAATAGCACTTAACATTTAAAAGACCCATGTCTGATCATGCAAACACATTGTTGTATGTTACATTTCACTTATAGTTACTTTCTACACAGGAAGTCTTAATAAATCTATTTTTTAGTTAAGGTTTAGGAGTTTCTGCTGGTTTAAAGGAGCAGAGCAGATTTGCAAGCAGAGCGCAGCTCGCTGCACCCAAGTTTGGTCTGCTGCTCGCTGCTGTTCAAATGTGTTCGGGTCAGGAAAATGCACTCGGTGAGGTGGAAGGAAGATGGAGGCAGAGTGGGATGCTGTGCAGAGCAGCTGCTGCTGTGACACTGAGCGTGTTGTGGAAAGGGGAGTACAGCCGGCAGGCCGAAGGATGAGCCCCACAAACTCCAGTGCAGCGTGAAGTACATTTGCTACCCTTTCCATGAGGAGCTCAGAGACTGAAGAAATATGGCTGCGATAGCAAGAAGCTTTGCTTTGTGTATGTGCTTTCTCAGCAGGTGTCTCTTCAGCTCTTTCTGCTGTTGTAGTGACCGAACTCTAGACATACTTTGGGGAGCTTTGCAGTGTCATTAATATCCCCTTGTCTTTTATCTGAGAGGAGATAGCACCTTATTGACCTACTCTGACCTATTTGTGAGGCTATCTGGGCAGTGATTAAAAGGCATCAATTTTCATGTTTGCTTGCAAGAACAAGGTTAGTATTAAAATTGCAGATGAGCCTAAGAAATATTGACGTCAGACAAAGAGCAATCTGAGTGATCTGAGCATAGGCTCAGAAGGAATTAAGTGCAGCACTGTTCCAGGTATGAAATATGAGGTATGAGAGCTGCACCCACCTGTCTTTCTCTGATCCGTCTTTCCACTAGCCCACTGCAGAAAGTCGGTTATTTAACTAAATAACCTATTGAATTTTGTTGACATACCTTTTGTTTCTTACCTTATTAAATTGCAACCCAAACTGTAACCCCGAAATTGCCCCTATGCTGCACTATTAAAATAACAATCTGCATGTAAAACATGAAGTCACTGGAATCTTCCCAGTGAGCTGCCAGATCCTTTTTGTATCCTTTCTGCTTCAGAAGTACTGCATACTGTGAGGAAGATGTACAGTATATATGAGACTTGATCTGATGCTCGTTGAATCGACAGAATAACTCCCGCTCTCATTCCTGAACTTTTGGATCAGATTCTTGGAGCATCCTTTATCTAACAACTTGTAAAATCAGACATCCCCATTGAGCCAGAGGATGCCAAGGACTGCACTGAAGCCACAGGGAGCTGCTAGTGTTCACACTTGTCATGCTGTGGTCTCCAACAGGAGGCTTTTTCTGAGCCTATACCTAGTCATCACCCATCAACTAAGGCAAGCTGACTTGCTCTTAACTAGATGTATTACAATAATTAATACATTGTGTTCCTACTAAAATGGGAAAAGTTCATGTCAGGTTTGAATAATACTATACTTTCTTTTAAGTATTTTGAAAACCGTGCTGGTTTCATATGTGTTGCATTCCTCTGCTGTGCAAGCCAGAAGAGGAATTACTAATTTATTACAATTATTGAATGTAGACATTGCAAAGTCTGTTCAGAAGAAAAAACCGCAGCTTTGATCTAGCCATTTGCCCAATAATCTGTCGTCTTCAACGTTTCAACATTGCAGCTCCCTGAACTTTTTCAAACATCCATATTTGAGTAAATCAAACTGATGAAGAGCCAAGTTCTGCTTGGCTCTCTAGAATGGCATTTCTGTCTTGTATTGGCACTTGTCTGAGGCCCAGGCTTGGCAAATTTCAGACATGATGACGAGCTTTAGCCCATGTTACATATCATTATTCTTCTCTCTTGAAATTTACCGTGAATCACAGAAAATTTCTTTTCTTTAAAGAAAAAAAAATACTCCCAGCACCTTGCAGAAATCAGTTTAATGAGGCTCTTTCTCATACTCCTCTTGGCTCTTTGCAGTAGGGCTTTTCTATCCTATTTGATGCCAGGCAGACTTGTCCTGTGCAAGTATGGTTGGTCTAACATTACACTGGTGTTTTCTGCCTCAGTGGGCTGTTTTGCTTGTGGAGCCAAAGAATGAGCTGGGTGATAAAAGTCCATGGGCTTGAGATGAGAGTGGGCAAGCTCATTGAAGAGAAATCCACTGAGGATTAACCAAATGCTTAGAAACCTCTTCCAATTTAGAAAGCTCCTGAAGTAAAAAATGCTTGGAGGCTGGACGAGTGTTAAAAGGAGGAGTCTCGTATGACCACCCGGTGCCTGTAGTGTTCCTTTAGATATCCACTGCTGGAGACAGACTAGAAGGACCTTCTGTCTCACCCTACACAACTACTTCTGTGTTACATTGCTCATCTTTCCCTACAGCTTATCTTAGTTACTTCATCTGCAAATACATGTCCAGATGTCTTTCCTATGCTGATGACTTCTGCGTTTCAGACCCAGGTGTCTGTCCAAACTAAAACTATATTCTGTCCTTCTGTCATCTCCTGCCAAGTGTTCAGCTGCCAGCTGAAGCTCAGCATGAGGAAACAGAGATCTTAATTAGTCAGCAGGAGATTGCCTGTCACTCAAACTTATGCCTGAAGTTACACCTTCCATACAGATCATTCCAGTTCCTGATATCCAGACCTGGTCTAAAGACTTTCTGGCTAACACTTTCTCTCTGTTCTGTAAGAGCTGTTCCTCAGAGCCACCTGGAAATTTTGGGCTGTGCAGAGATCTGGCTGCACAGACTACCTGTGTGGGACCTAGGACAAATCTTACTGAAGGAATGGGGGTTCATGCACTGATTTCAGTAAGAGTTTGGTCTAAAAAAAACCCAAAAATCCTATCTGAATTTGCCTGTAGAATATACAAATGTCCCCAGATAGCCACACTGGAGTTTCTAGGTGCAATTCCAGATTTTTTTATTTGCTGCACAAATATCTTTGAGGCTTTTGTCCTTTGATTCCTCCTTTGGGTTCCAACCTGCAGTTTAAAAAGAAAAGAAACCCAAAACTTGATCAATAAAATCAATCAATGAGATGTCTAACTGATCTCTCCTAAGCCTACTTGCCCTTTTGAAATTCAAAAAAAATGCCAAAGTGCTGTGTTAGTTATAAATACTAAAAATCATTAATAACACAGAAAAACAACAGTAAAAAAAAATGCTAAGCCAGGTTGTATGAGAGAGTTGCAGTCAGCAGAGTGTTTGTAATGAGACGCAGTAGTGGATCCAGGGTTTAGGTTGCTCTTGGCTTATGGACAGACCTTTTGGAGACCAGCCCACAAAAGTGGTTGGTTATTGGCAGATGTTTGGGACTCAGGAGTTGCTTCTTGATAGTGATGGAGACGTGGGAGGAATATTTCTGTCCCTGACAGAGTAGGAATCGCGTGATAACATCCTTAGAATCGTCCCTTAGATGAGGTGAGAGTTGTTACAGCTCAGTTTGTGACTGTGTGTTGTTTAAATGGCTTGCACCATTAAGCAGAGCTACGAATTCAGCTGATGAGAAAATTAGATGTGTTACGATCTCTGCTGGTTTTGTGCACTTTTAGATTGAAAAGGGATTACTTGCAAATATTTTGGGTCCATACACGGTTCCCATTACTGCATCTTTGTACTGCTGAAAGCGTGTGTGTTTGCAATATTCTTGGCAGCTGAACTGACACTGTCATTTCGGTGATTTAGTATTTTAGAAGGGGAACTGAGGCACTGCAAGATTACATTATGTGCCACATGAGAAACCCATGGAGAAGCAGAGATGTGAAGCCAAATAGCCAAGCCCACTCTTGATTTCTACTGGCCTTTCTCTTCATCTCCTACCTTGTGCCAATTCCCCTCTGGTTTGGGACACCAGTGCCCCAAGAGATATGTGTGACTTTGCCTCTCTCTTTTGTAAAACACCGAAGTACTTAAAGCGGTCATGATTAACTCCAATGACCTTATAAAAATATGCAATCTTGGACATTTACAGAGGAAGCCAACAGATTAATATATAACATCATGTTATAAAAACAGTTCCTGCTCCAAGACTTTCTGTGTATTTAGACTACAGTCATTACTGTGACACAAAAACACCCCAGGAAAGGGAGGTGAGCTGTGACATGCAGAGTGACAGCAGTGGTGGATTTCCCTATACATCTCCAGGACAATCAGCAGTGCTCCCATGTCCCGCAGAAGGTATCACCTTCTTCGCCTCTTCATAGGACACCTCCCTCTTTGTTCAGGGAACCTCAGGTTTCCTGGGAAAACCAGTACCTTAGGGTTATATGTTAAGGGAGGGCTTCTCAAAAGCACTGGGCTTTGGTTCAGTTGATCCCTCAGAATACAGCAAGGGTTTACCACTGATGGCATTCAATGGCAGCACACTTAGGCCAAAGCAAAGGGTCTTTGAGACTCACCCTTGGATTACCAAGCTGTAACAAACTGGCCGTAGGAAGGAATTTTAATTTTATGGATGTAATTTTTCTTATCTCTTATGACATACGCATATGAGGATACCAAGTCCCAATATCAAGAATTGGAGGTTTCCTCCAACTTTGTACTTTGAAGAGTATTCTGTGACACTGTCAGATTCAATAACAATAATAATTAATACTCAGTTTCCTGTGATTTGACAGCCGTAAATCAGCTATGCTGGAAAGGGCTCTTGACCAAACTCCTAGCAGCTACTGTCAGGTAAAAATCAAGAATAGATTAATAAAGATTTCAGAAATATTTGTTCCTTTCCCCTTTATAATTAAGAACTAAAACTATGGCTGACAGTTCCTTGTGATCCAAAGTCGTGTTAGCTGCGGAGGAAAAGCTCTAGAATAACATATGTTAATTTGGAAGTTACGGAGACGCTGGAGTACTTAAGAAATAAGTAATAAATATCTCATTCCTTCAAAATGGGAGTTGGCTGGAGAGAGAAAGCCCAAGTCTAGAAATGTTGAGTTAATATTTGGAAAAAAATGTATGTTTTTGAGATCTCTTCTGTAGCTATCGAGCTGTAAGGCTTGTCATATTTGGAGTAGACAAATTATTATTATCTAACTTTACTATTGCAGTTCTAAGATTCAGATTTAAATGACCCAGTAAGTGTAAAAGTCCGTAAGGTGAACATTTTTATGTGTGAACTCCTTGTCCAAATCCTCACAGCTGGTGACTAAATTCTGCCTATCCCACCCCTTTAGAGATGGGAAGGATTAATGCTCAGTTGTCTATAGCAGAACACATAGATGCTGTGACACGGAAAAGTGGTGGGGTTTTTTTATTTTGTTGTGGTTGGGGGTTTGTTTGTTTGTTTGTTTTTCTTCAAAAATAAAATAAATTTGTGGTATTTTTCTTAGCTCTGCATAAAGGAAGTTCATTCAGTGAGGTAATTTCTTACTATGCTTGTTACAGTTGTCTCGAAGCTGAAATTTGCATCTGGTGTACATTTTAGAGTGTATTTCTGATCTCTCGCCCAAGGATATAGCCAAAGAAAAATCGTTGAGCAGAGCACCGAGTGGCTGCCCTTTTAATGTTGAGAGAAATGCACTGTCCCACTGTTTCTATATCCCTGAAATGTGGCAGGACCACACATCTGGGAGCCAAAAACCTGTATTCTCATCCCAGTTCTGTCACACTCTGCTGTGTGTTTCCAGGCACCTCCTTGGAGCAGCCCATGCTTCAATTATTCATATCATGTTAGCAGAGAACATCAGCGCTGTGAAATGTATATGCAATAAATGTGACAGAGACCGTAACTGTTGATGCGCACAGGTAGATCCATCAGATGCCTCATCACTGGGTGGTTTCACGTGGTCCTTTGTCCTGTAGGCTTCTCAGGTGGAGGCAACGAAGGACGTTGCTGATGGCAGTCGTGGCTGTTGTCTCACAGAGCTTTGGGTACCGCATCTCTTCAAAGGCTGAGCTGTGTCGCAGCAATGTAAATGGCTTTTCTCTGCAGAGCAAGGTGCAAATACCCGGCTCTCCGTAGCAGATAGGCATCGTAGATGTCATGAATCTATTCCACGCACAGACATCAGCTTCCTAGCGCTCAGGAGATGGCTCTTGGAAGTCCTTGGGGAAGTCATTGACCCTCTTTCTGTCCCAGAAAAGCAAACAGCTCCCGAGTCACCCCCCCGAGGAGGAGGCAGGTGCCCTTGTGTTACGGCAGGCTGCTTTTCCTCTAGACCTTGTAACGCTTTTTAAATTATTGATATCAATCAAAGAGGAGGACACGGGGAAGCAGTCACTTATTCCCACAGCTGGGAGAAGAAAGGGAGCGTGTAATTGCTTGTGTTTCCAGGCCTGCCGGGCTGTTGGGTTTCCCGCTTGCATATTATGGAATTGATTTCACCGGCAGCCTGACCCGCAGGGTGGTTACTGCAAACTTTTGGTTGCAAGAGGAAAAGCCACACAGGCGAGTTTATTCCTCGAAAGGAATAGTAACTGTGATACCCCCGTGCCTTCCTCCACCTCCTCACACGCTAGGAAAAGGGCCTTATGGCCGACCGTCCCCACTGGGGGCCGCGGCGTGGGTGGGTGGGTGGATTCGCGCTCTGGTCCGCAGAGCGCGGGGCAGCGCGTGCCGCTGGCGGGACCCCAGCGATCCCGAGCCATCGGAGCGTCCCCAGCAGGCCAGCAAGCAGGAGCTGCGTCCCTACTCCAAGCGCTGTGCGGCGGGGAGGTGGGGGTCGGCAGACGTGGGCAATTCTGGGCAGGGGAATCACCCGGGGGAGCGGAGAGTCCCTGGCGTTGCTGGCAGGGCTACTGCACCTCCCGCTGCCCAAGGACGTGTCGGCTCCACTGGACCCTCTGAGCTTGCGGCTTCTTTGACGCAAGGACGGGGTGCTTCTAAAATTGAGACCGCCGACAAAAATCAGAATTTCTGCCTCAAATCGCTTGCATTTGCTTTCATTGCTTTACCGCCTGGGATGGGCAGGTTTCAGGGATCCTGATTTTTAAATTAGGGCTTGAGACAAAAGTCCTACATCAGGAGTGGGATCCCGGACAAGGCAAAGAAGAAACATTTACACTGGGAGAATGGGAAGTGATTTTAATCTGAATACAACTTGCACACAGAAAGCCAACCGTTACCTCGCGGATATGAAGAAAAATGGCACTGTTAGCTTTAAATAATGTACATTTCCAAGATGCTGCCCAGCTGTTAATCATTAACCCTGTAGCAGGTTGAAGCATAGAGACAGATGTTCCAAAAGCAATTTTATTTTCTGAAATAAAGAGAAAGAAGCTATGAATTGGACAAATTAAGAAGAAATTCAAATATTTACACCCAGCTGAAACAAGATGCTGGAATAACAGGCATGATAAAATTGCTGCAATTAAATGTAATTTAATTTATAATTCTGAAAGCATGCTTCTTCCAAAGGCAGCCTTTGCGTTTTCCTTATGGAGTGCATTGTTATGATGTATGGATTTTCCTGACTTATTATGGCATTCTAATCAGCAGTTCAATGATGTGATAATATTCCTAAAGCAGAAAAATAAGTGACGTTTGTTTAGACATAATTAATGAAATATTTATGTTGCATGAGGCTGTGTGATAAAGCCTTGTTCTCTTAGTCCATTTGCTTCTGATTACATTTGTGATTTTTTTATATGACCAGACATTCTGACGCCAACTATTTTACACTGAGCAGATGTCATGTAGTAAAAATGGGTGCCAGATGCTACAAGCCACATAAGGGTAATTTGTTTAAGAGCTGGCTCAGTCTTTTTGCATTCAATTACACTGTATAGTGAGCCTTATACAATCATTTGAGTAATATGGCTAACTTCAGATATACATTTTAATGAACGTTGAGTGCGTTCAGAACAGCAAGCTACATGCAGGGTGCTCAAGGAATTAATTTATTTGTATGTGATACCGGAAAAAAATCAAATATACCCAGACAGAGTTTTTGACAGGGATCAAAAATTTAATTAATGCTGTCAGCCAAATTTCCAAATTGCTCTAGGTGCTGCTGATTAGAACCCAGGGCAGGTGCAAAATGTCTGTGTAAGTAAAGAACAGTATTTTTTGCTTCACTGACTGTTTTGTTTCTGCATTTAGGATGTGAACACCTACCTGTCAGAAAACAAGCTATCGAGTATTCTACTTCTTCCTCCGATGACGAATTTGAATCCAAGCATTCGTTAACACACAAGGTAATCTTGACTTGGAAACGGAAAGAAATTTCCTCAGTTGGACTGTATTTAAGATTCATCGTATGATTTTGATCCAAAACATACAGCAATTTCTCAAAGTGGGGATTGGAACGTTTTATCAGTGGAGATTACGCGTCATGGGGAGAAAATACATTAAAACTCTTTAAGACAGATGAACATCAAAATTTCTTTTTCCTCTTTGGATCTTTAATTCCCTCAGGTTACACCAGCGTTGACAGAGGAGGTCTTAATTTGACAAACAGACATGTTTCACTGAAACCACTGTGAAGCTGCATTCTTAAGTGGCCTTAATATGTAGCCCAACAAGCAAACTATTGAAAAAATTAAACCAAACAGATGCAGATTTCCCTTAGGGAAATGCAACTTCATTTGAGAGGCACTACAGGCAGGTTGTGTGGAAACCGCTGTGTTTCATCCTGATCAGCACGACTGTGTGGGCCACGAAGTCGCACCCGGCCCCGGCCGAAAGGGCCGGCTGCGCGGCGGGCTCTCCGAGCCTCGGCTCGGTTCCTGTGGCTAGCAGGAGCCGTGGGGTTAAAGCACCAGTGAACTCTTGATACCCAGCTCTCGTGTGAAGAAACAGAGCTTTTATTGCCTGAATAGCTCATCAGAAATGTGTTTACCTCCTTCCTGTGGAGGGGAAATATCAGTAAGTGGAATTAATAGTACGAGATGGCCCTTTGATTTGTTGCCTTTGAGGGGGGAAAAAAAGGAAAGCGAAGCAAAAGGCTGCCCAGTATGCTGAAAAAACATCTGAGCTGAAAGCTAAGTGGGGCTTTCAATAGAAACCCAATTGCACAGCTCCAGAGGAACCGAAGTGCCACAGGGCAGAAGCGCAGCAATGTGTGGTGGCACGTCCCGCCAGTGGCTCTGTGTCAGGATGCGCTGAGATGTCAGAATTCATCACGCATCTTTCCTGTTACAGGAAAGACAATCTGTAGGGAGATAATGTTATGGGGAATTAAATAAAGTTTAAACAAAATAGAGAAAAGAAGGGCGATGTGGGAGAAAACTGGATAGGAGCAACTCCCGGGCGCTGGGGCAGCCGCAGGGACAGGCAGGACCAGGCAGCGGGAAGGCAGCACTGCCGGGGCAGCTGCCAGAAATGGGGTGAAACGCGGGCGTTAGCAGTGATTCAGTTCTGATGCATGTTCCCCGCTCAGCTTGTTTCTCTCGCCTGCCTCCTAGCACCTCTTTCCATACCAGTTCTGGCTGCTATTTTGCCAGTACACCATTTGTCTCTGGCAAAACTCGGTGGGAAAAAATTTTAGCGGCTTCCTGGCTTGTTGGTTTTTTAATCATCTTGTCTATGGTGCTCGTATATTCTGTCTCTTCCAAAATGGGAAACCCACAGCCCTGCAGCACTTCTAGATAGCTTGGGTCAAGAGCAAGATGGCTCAAGTGCAGGCGGTTCCCTCAGCCAGCCCAGCAGCACCCCAGGGAAAGGCAAAAAACCTCCGTAATGCAGTAGAGAAATGGCACTGGGGAAGGTTTTGTAGAGCTTCAGGTAGTGTCCTATGATGGCTGTTTCTTTCGGATACGTCCCTCTTACTGTGGTACAAGTGATCCGAAGTGAATTTTTACTTAGCAGCTACAGCAATAGAACTGGGTTGAGTTTCTTTAAACTGATGCTTCCTCCTGCCTGTGCCTGGCTTCTTCCCTGATCATGGTGATGTCTGCAGAAGCCACCAATAGTGGTATGTTGCATATAGTCAACTTTGTGATTCATACGTTTTTTATTGATAGACACAGCTCCCGCTCGCTTAGGGTTGCAGTAAGAGCTTGTAACGATTTAAAGTCAATGAAAATACTCCCACATGAATATTTTCATTTCGGTTAGGTTGCCCCAAGCACCCTGCGGTGGCTCACTTCGCTTTGAGCGGGGGAGTCGGGTTAGATGATCTCCAGAGGTCTCTCCCAACCTCAGTGGTTCTGTGATTCTGGGGAAGGTTTGAGGAAACCTTTAATGGTGTACTTATGCTTTGATTGCCTTTTTTTTTCCTCTCACCCTTTTGTAGGCAAAAAGAGCTCTCAGAAGGAGAAGGAAGCAGGAGAAGGAGACAAAGCAATTGATTAAGCAAGAGGAGCTGAAGAGGCTTCACAAAGCACAGGTGAAAACCTAGCTCGCAGATGTCCCATTTGTCTCCCAAGAGTGACTAGCGAGGACACGGGGCACGCAGCGTGGGCTCTGTACCTCCCCTCGCTCCTCGCTGCGGCTCACTGCCTTCTGGGTTGAAGTCCCCCCAAACCATCAGGAGCAGGAAGATGTATGTGGCAGGGTCTCGCACCTCTATATGTGACAAATCCACTTGTGCCCCAGGAGATCATCATAATTTTGTAATTGTGTGTGAAAAACAAGTGACTAGCAATAAGAGAAGAATACACTGGAGAGAGAGAGAGAGAGAGAAAGAGATAGAAAGAGCAAATAACATCAGCCCCCGAGAATGTAAGAAATTCAGATATTACCCCTATATGCTACAGGAGGGTATGAAAATACAGTGATGGTTTTTATTGTCTCTCTGCCGTAATGAAAGTGAACCATTTTATTAATGATGCAAAGCCACTTCACTTTATAGAAGCCCTGCTCTTCAGAAAATGCTGGAAAAGCTCTGGGCTCTGCTAATGCTTTATTATTTCCAATTACTGTTCAAAGATTTGGGAATGCACTTCTGCACAACTTGATCTCAGACTGTGTTGTCTCAGTTGTCAAAATTTTCAGGTTTATCTCTTTCACTTAGCACACATACATATCTATATGCATACACCCACACCCACCCACCCACCCCTTAATGGCTTATGTGGCCATTAGCACTTTTTGTGTGTTTCTGTACTGTAGCATAGGGTAGAGCTAGATTTAATCTCATTAATTCAGGTTGTAATGGTAATCAAGATATGGTAGTGAGGGAAGAAGGCTTTTTGAAGGCAGAGTTGTCCATCATCTTCTGTTGTATTACTATAGCAGGTGGATAGTTTTGGTTGGAGTTTCTACTTGCTATTTCTGTACCAATATTAAATTAAAAAAGAAAACTAGTATGTTGTTTTTCAGATGTGAATCTGAAATCTCTGTTTTTGTAGACATCAGTGCTTTTGCAAAATGTATGACTGAAAAGGAGAGTAATTTTGTGTTTGAACCAGACAGTGGATTTTAGAAAATGCTAATAGCTATCCATTACTATAAAATCTGTGACAGAATAAAACCCACGGGGAAAAAAATCATATCTTATTTAATCCGAAGCAAGAGCAACTATGTTATAGTTTTTATCTGAGAATTGTAAATTATCTCAAGGTAAAATTGCACGCATACGTGCCTCCTCGTATCTTATTGCTTTGTGGAACTAATCAAGTCCAAACTTCTTGAACCATCTTTCATGTTTGTTAGGCTGTTGCTGAGGGCTTGGCTTGGTATGCCCTAACACAGCCTGAAATGGAAACTGCTGAGCATCTATCTTTAACAATTCGACCTTTTAAGGTTTTTTATGCCTATTATCCACATGGCACCTCTGAAAATCTTATTTAAAAAGAGATGGACCCATGAATGTAGAAGTCCTTCCTGAAGTGCCACTGAATTATCACTTCTTAGCTATTAGACCCTTTCCTTCCTGTGTCAAAGGCTTGTGGAATATGAAAGCAAAACAAATAAGAAAACCCCATGGACAACAAAATAGCTAGCAAAGCTTTCTAGCTGTAAACCTTCAATATTTATATGAGCTTTATTCATGTAGCATCTCGGAATATGTGCCTCTCAGTGTGTAAGGTGTTGACTTTTCACACCTTGCGAGACACAGAAATGTTCTGATCTCTGTTTTACATCAGGAGAGCTGAAGTTCAGAAAAACTGAGGTTCTTTTAGTACCTACGATACTTACCCACATAAAAATGTGAATAGATACCTAGTGGAATTATTAAATTGCCTAGGCACCTAATACACTCAATGAGTTTGCAAATTCCATGACTCCTCCAAGACCTTTTCAAGCTGTTTCTCTAACCACTGAGGCCATCTTTTGTCTCTGAATTTTTAAGCTATGTCTGTAGCTTTTGTATCATTACAATTTTGCAGGCAGTCCAGCGCCAGCTAGAAGAATTGGAGGAAAGACAAAAAGCTCTGGAGATTTTCGGTGTCAAACTGGAGAGAGAACTAAGAGGAGAATCAGGTAAATGAAGCAGTGTTTCTTTGGTTGGTGGTGGGTTTTTTAACCTTTTTCAAAGCAGAGGGGTTTTAATGATTGTCATAGAAATAAACTTCAGTGCAAAATCTGAAATCATAACTGGAAGGACAAAAATCATTTTTTACCCTTTTCCTCAAACTCTGTTAGCTCAAGCACCTTTACGCTGAATGCTATGAATTTTCTGTTGGTCATCACAGATTTGGAATTATTTGCCTCGCTATTGAACCTGAATCTACATTCCCTCTCTGTTTTTTTTAAATCCCATCCTGAGCTTAATTCCATCTTCTGGAGGGAAGCAGTGAGGTTTCCAGGAGCTGTATCTCAGTTACCAAGCCAGCAGCAGCCCGTGCCTAGTAACAGAGTCCTTAATGACTTCTCCCGGAGTGTGAAATGCCATTAATACGATTAGAGCCCGTGGCCATGCTATAGCAACAGCAGCATGCAGGCACACAGACCCAAACTACACCGCTTTTTCCCCAACGGGTAGAAGATAAAACGCGGACGTCGTCCTGTCCCGGGCCGGAGGCGAGGTTTTCCCTCGCCTGAACCAGCAGTCCCGAGCACCCAGGACTGCAGCACCCTCCCGCCAGCCCAGCCTTGCCGCTGCTCCCCAGCACGCGTGGGGTGAAGCTGGGGGGACGTCCCGCGGAGGGCTGGGACAGCTGGGGGCTCCTGCCAGGCTCCCAGTGGGGACGGGAGTGTGAACCGCGCGCGTGAGGGGCTTCAGAGGGGGCCGCGGTTCTGTGCTGAAGGGACTGTGCCCAATGTGTCTTTATTTATCTCTGTTTTAGAAAGCTGAACCTTGTGCTTTCATGACAGGCAGTTGCACAACACCGAAAACCTAGATGTGTTTTGGCACCTGATCTTGTTGTCTTAGCTAGGCAACCCAGCACAATCTCTACATGCTGGCTATTTTAATGCCATATTTCTTAGCAGTTATTGCCCCTATTCCAACACTGAACTAATCCGTTCAGCAAGAGAGCGTTTGCCCAACCTTTTACATTTATTAACTAATTTCCTATAATTGATAGTGCCAACCTATTTCAAATGTTATTTAAAAGGCTAGCATCTGTTTTTCTTAAATGGAAACATAACCTTTTATCAAATGACATTCACCTTACTGCCTGTGAGGAAGTCTGCTAAAAAGACTTTGAGGATTTGCAGTGTTAGCTTTTTTCTTTACTGCCAAGTTGTATAAGGGTGGTTGTTTTTTGGAAACCTCAAGAATACAGAGGGACAAGAGGCTTCTAGCTCTTGGGATAGACACCGAATACCAGGATAAATGGCCTAGAGCCACCTCTTGTTTTTGCTGTTTTGACAATCACATTTCCTAAAGAAGGCTGTCTGCCAAGAGATTGATGCTTCTCATTCTCTTTCCATCCTTAGTAATTGGATTGCCCTCATTAAGGTGAAAGTACTATTTTTTCTCCCTGTTGATTGTTTGTGTGTAGGTGGCCAGTTACAAATAGGGCAGATACTGAAATGTAGGATGTTACTGTCTCTGAATAACTCTTCTGGTGCGAAAGCATGAAGCTGTAAGTTTCCCAAAGAAAATGTGAATGCTTTGTTGCTTGTAATAACATACATGTAATGATGCAGGAATTGGTGAGTTTAATACTCTGTTCAACCTTCTTAAAAATAATGAGCATTGTTATTTAATGAATGACTAGTGTTTATTAGGTTAAGTTGTATTTAAGCAGGTCTGCGCTTATGCAATTCAAGTGATTTAATAGGTATTATTAAGGTAATTAGAAAACGATCACAGTTCAGCAATAATATTGAGCTGCAAAGGTTGTGAATAACCAAATTTAGAGACAGGCCTGCAAACACTAGTCTTCAGTGACATTTACGCAACTCTCCTCTAATAATTCTGTAAGCCTGGGGTGAATGGCCCCTTTGTTAGGGGGAGTTATTCATTAGCTCCTCAACTGAATTAGAAGAGAACATGCGTGGGTGCGAAACAACTGCCATGAAGACTGATGAGCAAAATGAGGCTTTGATGATCTTCTAATTGTAGTGACAACAATTCATGCATTTTAAAAAAAAAAAAAAGAAATAATATCAGTCCTATGAATAATTTTTCATGCCCGTTATTCCCTTTATTCTGGTTCAAAATACCAAATAATAAATCACTGATGTACCGTTGCTTTGTTTTCCACTGACATTTGTGGAGGCTTATGGAGATCTTCTGCCTACAAGAAAATACAGAAATAAAAATCTTGAAACACATTTGCCACTGAAATTAGCATAACCAAAGCAGTTGACTAAACAAATCATGTAGAATGATGGTAAAGAGGAAAATCTGTGTTGAGAGAACATTAAGAAATCTCTCCATGTTTTGGAAGATGAACAAATATCTGCACATGTTGCAGCTATTTTTTTATTTCATAAGGAGCATATCCAAGGTTTCTCAGACCTTTCAACAGAGTCAAAATAAATCAGTTAAAAACCTGTAGGAATAAGGAATATGAAGTTTAGCTGTTCCTAAAAAGGTGCAAACTGGCCGAGCCCCTTTTACTGTGTGACTGCTGTACGGAGGGACAGCGTAGCATCACTCTGGAGAACAGAAGGTCGAGGTTTGGAGAACAGTATTCGGTAAATACTCCTCTCCAGCCTGGCATTGTCTCAAAAGTGAGGAAAATAGAAACAGCTATGGTGTAATTAGAAGAATATCTGATTTTCAAATGGGAGCTAGGTCAAAGGAGACTTGGGTAAACCAGGAGGAAAGTTTTGCTTTAGCAGTGCTTTAAGAAAAAGCCAGCATGGCTCACAAAACAAAGTCACAAATTGTTTTCCCTCTAACCTTTGAAAAGATCTGTCGTACTGCGTTACGCAAATGACTTCATTGGCTTGTTCTGCCCTTGGAAGGCATAAAAGCACTCCATCAGACTTAAATAACTATTAACATTATTATTAACAAACATTGAGAAGTTCAGGGACAAAATGCCCCTGGGGACACTTGGGGGGCATTCTGTGGGATGGAGGAGGAGGCAAAACAAGGGCTATTTTTATTTCAGTTTGCACTGAGGATTTTGCGAAAATGAGCGGCATTTTTGCAAAGTGCATTACACTTTGCTTACCTCAATCAACCTATGATACATAGTCTTTTATTAGGGATATAGAGATTTTAAAGTGTAAAGAGGAAACATTAAAAAGAAGAATATTTTTGCCTAATCAAGAAAACAGCAAAAAGGGAATAGCAACCCTCTGTGTGTGTGCAGGACATACACATACCTGCAATTGCAATGTTTTTACTGACAGTAAGATAGATCAAATTTTGATGATAACTTCGTGTCCTGGTTTCAGCTGGGATAGAGTTAATTTTCTTTCTAGTAGCTGGTATAGTGCTATGTTTTGAGTTCAGTATGAGAAGAATGTTGATAACACACTGATGTCTTCAGTTGTTGCTAAGTAGTGTTTAGACTAAAGTCAAGGATTTTTCAGCTTCTCATGCCCAGCCAGTGAGAAAGCTGGAGGGGCACAAGAAGTTGGCACAGGACACAGCCAGGGCAGCTGACCCAAACTGGCCAACGGTGTATTCCATACCATGGGACATCACATCTAGTATAGGAACTGGGGAGTGGGGATGGGGAATCGCTGCTCGGGGACTGGCTGGGTGTCGATCGGCGGGCGGTGAGCAATTGCCCTGCGCATCATTTGTACGTTCCAATCCTTTCATTATTGCTGTTGTCATTTTATTAGTGTTATCATTATCATTATTAGTTTCTTCTTTTCTGTTCTATTAAACCATTCTTATCTCAACCCCCGGGTTTTGCTTCTTTTCCCAATTTTCTTCCCCATCCCACTGGGTGGGGGGGGAGTGAGTGAGCGGCTGCATGGTGCTTAGCTGCTGGCTGGGTTTAAACCACGATGCTTCGGATAGTGGCATATGAAGACATAAGGCTCTGAATACTGATGCTGCATCCCTGCATTAGATCTGTGAAAAGCCACCGTTGGCATGTCCCAGCGAGAACTGCTCCAGCAGTCACTCTGAGAAGACATTTTTTATCACCACTTGCTGACCTAGAAGGTCCCACAGGAACACATCCATTACCGCCAAGTTTTAATGGAATCGGGCAGAAATCAGACCAAGACTGCTCTTCCCTCTCCTGCTGCTTTATCCTCCCGTTTCATGGTAACTGCAGACTGGGGACAAATCCTAATGAGAAATCGCAGAACTGCACCTAAGACAGCGTGACTCCTGTCCTCCGTGTGGGAGCCCATGTCATTCCTCCGACGCTGGCAGGAGGTGACCCAGGCTCTCTGGGATGACAGTGCCTGGTGAAGGCAGGCAAATGGGCTGGTGATCCCAAACACCCAACAATTTCCCTCCTGCTCAGGAAGATTGCTAAAGGGCTGCACTGGGTGAGATCATTACTGCCCAAAGGAATCATAGAATCATTTAGGTTGGAAAAGACCTTCAAGATCATCGAGTCCAATCATTAACCATGCCCCCTAAACCAGGTCCTGAAGTACCCTGTCCACTCACTTTTTGAATATCATCAGGGATGGTGACTCAACCGCTTCCCTGGGCAGCCCATTCCAATGTTTGACAACCCTCTCAGTAAAAAAAATTTTCCTAATATCTAACCTAAATCTCCCTTGCCTCAACTTGAGGCCATTTCCTATCACCAGGCACCTGACAGAAGAGACCAGCACCCACCTCACTACAACCTCCTTTCAGGTAGTTGTAGAGAGCGATGAGGTCTCCCCTCAGCCTCCTCTTTTCTAGACTAAACAGCCCCAGTTCCCTCAGCTGCTCCTCAAGACTTGTGTTCCAGGCCCCTCACCAACTTGGTTGCCCTAACCAAGTTAGTGAGGAGATGGGCTTTAAACTTCTGTTCTGGAGTGGAGTCAAATCCTGGCTTTGACGTTAAAGTGAGGGACAGCTGAAGCAGTAGATGCAAGAGGGTAATTCCTCAGGTTGAGAACAAAGCATGTTTCAAAACTGCAACAGAAAGGCATCCAAAACACTGCTGAACTGTCTAGGACTCTGGCTACCTCTTCACCTGGTAACCTAGTTTAATGATACTCTTGTAATTGTCATCTCTGGAGCTTGAACCTGAGAGCTTTGGGCTTAAATTTCAGCACTCTCAGTCATCTGAAATAAAGGTGCAGTCCTCTTAAAGTAGGAGAAATCACATAAGTCTCCATCCACAGAAAATAGCTAGGCTGATTTATGGGGTTTTTATGCTTGGTTGTCTAGCAGCGTGGTGCAAGGACTGAGGAGGAGAGCGCTGTGTTCCCCTGCCTGCTGGCAGCACCTCCTTCTGCTTTGTCCCAGGTCCGGCTGTCCCTGCCTCCAACACGGGGCTGCAGCGTGGTGGGGCGTGCGACTACCACGTGCTGAGGCAGGAGCAGGGGCTGGCTCTTGGGTTTGTGCTTCTGAAGGGGTCAGCGTGTCACCTAAATTGTTGCCTCAAGCTGGAGTACTGTAAGATATTTGCTTCCTACAAGTGATCGCTATTTTGTGGCAACAGATGGCGGATGGGCAGAGCAGATGTTGTGGGAGGTGTGTTTGCAGTGCCATCGCTGCTGCTGTAATTCTGCACCAAAGGTTGGTGGAGTGGTTTTATTTTGTGAAGAAAATGAATGGAAAATGTGAAGTGATGAGCGTGTCAAAAAAGGACAGTGAGGAAAAGAAATGCATATGTGCTCTGACTTGCCACTTGAAAACACACAGGGTTTCTTCATTGCCAAAGATTTTTGTATAGATGGCATTTTAGGAGCAGTAAAGGCCCTCACCTGGTGAAAGAGAAATCTGTCCTGCTCTTCAGCAAGGCAGAGTCAAGCTGTGAGCTCTCTGAGAGAGACCATCTCAAGTTTCATGTCTGTATAGTGCCTACCAGTGATGCCCTAGCCTGAAGTGTTACAAAACCATGCAGTAATAATACATTTGTCCTGTCCCACAGCCTTTCCCGTCATTCAAAGCAGATGCAGATTTAGAGGCCAGTTGGCAAATGAATGAAAATTTGTAGAGGATTTGATTGTGCGTCTGATGCCCACTGGAAGCAGGGACTAACTTGATACTTGCCAGCATGTACATCCTGAAGTCAGATTGTGTTAATGGGATATCTGTTTATACATATAGTTCAGCTGTTGGAGTCCAGTATCAACAGAGAAACTATGTTATCAAAGGCAGGACTAAGAGAAAGAAAAAGTGCACATGAAAAAAAGAAAGTCTATATGATTATTTGAAAGAAAAAACTTAACTTCCAAAACAAAAGTAGTTTTAAATCTAATGCATCTTTAACTGCAATAAACTACAACATACAACCAAATGTAGACGGGAATGTTATACGTATTTTACCCAGACATTACAGATATAAGTTACATACAGCAAAAAAAATCTACATTTGAACTCACCTGGGCTTACAAATGAGGACTATTTAAAGTGAACTTAAGTGGTAAGAGCACTGGAAGGAAAGCTGATAATGCACACTTAAGTCTCCTATTTTAAACAGATTCAGGCATGAAGGATGAAACTCAGATGCTACATGAATGGTTTCAGCTGGTCCTGGAGAAGAATAAATTAATGCGTTATGAGTCTGAACTCCTGATTATGTAAGTAAGGACAAGCATTAGTACTAAAGATGGGGAGGGGAGAGGAGAAAAGTGTATTCACAATACACCTGAACACCTCGCCGCGTGCTGCAGTTTGAGACTGTCATGGAATAAACGTACCCAGAGTAGCTACAATCTGTTTTGAACACAGATTTTAGGTTGAGCCCTCCTAGTCCCTCCCTCCCACAGTGGTTCAATTATTTCAATCCTACATGATACTCTAAACGATAGAGCACATAGATGCTCTGCCTTTACATAATGTGGGTCTAATGAACACTTGGGCACTTTCTCCTGTGGAAGAAAAATAGTCTGACAAATTTATCTCAGTTTTTATTGGGCATAGGAGAAAAGATCTAGGAATTCACTACAGCAAAGAAACAAGCAGATACACCAAGCAAACAAAAACCACCTCAGATGCCACTGTTTGTGGCTGATGGAAACAATATTGGCTGTAGCGCTCTCACCTCGCCTCTGTGGAAATGCACTCAACAGATGGGTGGAGGTGACTCTCAGCTATTTTCTCCACTATTTCTGGGCAACGTGGGAAAGCGATGAGAGCTGCAGCAGTCATGACTCACCCCTGGATTTCACACCAGTGCAGGCTGCTCCTTGCCAGTTATCGTTTCCATATCACTTAGCCCCCCATGCTGTGTGCAGGGCTCCAGTCCAGCCACTAGCTCCAGCCACTCCCCAGTTTCTCCCCAGCTGTGCTGATGCTGCCAGGGACCAAACCTTTTCTTTCCCCTTCGGTTGTCCTCGAGTGTTGTGGTAGCAATGCCTCCTGCTCGCACTGCCTGCAAAGCAGAGTTAAAAACGCAAAAGCAGGCCGTTTTTAGCACTGCGGGACACAAAACGTTGTTGTCTGGATGCGCTCACACGTGTTCATTCCCTTGCCTCAGGACCTGTTCCTGTGCAGAGGGTCTGGCGGGGCCCTTCGTGTGTGGGAGCGTTCAGTCCTATTCGGAATCATGTTGTGGGTACCTCCGACAAAGCACAGCTGGTCAAAGCCTTAAGTGTTGCGATGTATGAGGGAGCTTAATCTGATACATAGCGCAAAAGGTGGTAGTGGGACTTCTGGTGTTGCTGTGGCAATATAGGCACAGGCAAAGCTTTTAGCCTTGACTGCCCATGAGGAGAAAATACTGGACAGAGAGCACACGGAATTTCTTGGTTGAAATAATATTAACATATGCGTCTCTATTGAAAAAAGCTTACTCTTCAACATGCTTTTTATTGTACCTAGAGCCCAAGAGCTAGAACTGGAGGACCACCAAAGCAGGTTGGAACAAAAGCTGAGGGAGAAAATGGCCATTGATGGTAAGTCAAAGGGGAGAGTGTGCTCCAGCCCACAGTGATGGACCATGCCCATATGAGCCCCTGCTTGCTCCACTAAGGTCTAGAGTGGCTGAGGCTCTTCCTCCTGCGCTCTTCTGCGAGTGCAGCTCGGCCAGCAAAACACAACTTGTGAGATCTTCTCGTCTGACTTCTAGTCAAGACAGCGAAGCTAACCCGTCCAGTTTTACACTGAACTGGATCAGAAGCACTCGCACATGTAATTCCACTAATTGTGCTGTGCAGGCAGCAACATCCAACTAACATGTGATGATGAGCAGCAAGAGAAAGTAATTTCTTCCACCACCTACCTAAACACAAAAGAGGTTATCTGCTTTTATGTTAAATGTAGCATTACCGGTTACTGTGGTATTTTGGAACTGCTTTTACGTACTTGGGATTACAGTTTGGGCTTGTCCTTTCATTTGGTATTAGAAAAGAGAGCATGGGAAGGAGGAATGCAGGGAGAAGGGGGGGGTTACAATAGCACTGAATACTCCAAATATCCTGTTGTGTTCTAAGCATGTGGATTGTGAGTGATGGCAGTTTTCAATACTTTTTGTGAAAAACACCTTCCATTTTCTTACAGGTACTGCATTTCATGGTTGGGCTTTTTACCTTGTATAAACTAAATTCAAATTCCAGCTTAAATGTTTTTACAAAACAAGTAGTGCTCTTTCTACTCCTTCTAGTCTAAGTTTTGCTAAAAGATCTACTCTAGACATTAGGAGCCTTAATGGTCAACCTTAAATGGCCCAAATGCAAGAGATATTTTCCCTGAGCTGTAACATGAAAAATATTAACTGCTATTGAATTCATTTGTCATTGACTATAATATTAATTCAACCTGTACACCAACAATTAAAATGCAAAGCATAACAACAGAGTGATCTGGATTTTAACCTCTTGTTTTGTGATATTTTAGACAGCCTTAAAGATGACATGGATCTGAATGAGGAAGATGAAATTTTTACTGAGATGATGAAAGTGGTTGAAGAAAGGGACAAACTCGTGTCTACCTTAGAGGAGCAGAGAGTGAAAGAAAAAGCCGAAGACCAGCACTTTGAAAGCATTATATTATCTAGAGGCTATCAGCTGAGCAGGATTTAAACAGCCACATGCAAATAAACATGATTTCAGCAACATCTGTAATCATGGAGATACAGTCTTCTGAAAAATGAAGGAATTCAAATTTAATATCAGTTTATTTGGGAAACATGTTGTTTTGTTATCAAAAGCTCATAAGCAGTTCTTTTGCTCATACTGGAGTGAGTCATGTCACTATCAGCTTAAAGGATCACCGAAATAGAGAATAGGACTGAATTTACCTGTCTGATGGGCATCAGGGTCTGTGAAAGGGAAATCAGAGCTCTGTTGTTTTCTTGGAATTTTATTTTAACGCCGAGAATAGAGTTCCTGAGAAACATGATGACATAATTTAGTATTTTTGAGATGGCATTGCTTCCATCTGTCTGAATCTGTATGTGGTTTTGTTAATATTTTGGCACAGCCAACCCATGTTGAACTATTTAAAGGTCAGAAAGCAAGCATCTCATATAAAAATAACGTTAATTTTTATTTCTGGTGGAGGAAGGGTCATTTGACTAATAACTGCATATAAGGACTCATTAAAACCGCTGTAAATGCAATGTCAGAAATTAATTTTCCAGGAATTGTTACATTTTAGTGCACTGTGTATTTTTGAACAAGAAGTTCAAGCAATAAATCCTTATGTTTTCTAAAATGGTAAAGGATTATCAAAGGGGTGACTATCCTTAAGACTGTTACATGCTCAAAAAAGCTTTTGTATGTCACAGATTAAGGTCTTCTCTAAAATACGCTAAAAGATAATTTAAAACTAGTAATCCAGATTAACTGCTTTACAATTGCTTGATAAAATACATCACAACTAGTATCATAGGATGTGATGAGTGGTGTAGCAGTTAAAGATCTCCCTGAGTATAATTCCTCAAAAGGGTTGCAAAAAACGTTGAGTTTGTAATGTCAACATTTGATAGAAAATGTTGTGGGTATATTTAAACTATATTTATCTTGTTGCTCAAGAATATATATGCATATTTTTTTCTTAAGGGAACTATATCCTATCTTTTTTGTACATGCATTTGTAGATACTGGCAAAGCAGATGTGCAGAAACTCTCCTTAGTATTTGGTGTAATTTAAGTACTTTCTTAAATCTGAGAGTATTCCCAACTGTATGTATGATGCACTGCATTTTCAAACTGCAAAAACAATGAGAAACTGAAAGACTGTTTCTTTTTGAATATCATTTTACCTCATGCTCTGAGAAGATTTGATGTTCTCATTATTTTGTGAATGGTGCTAATTTGCAGCAGTTGCCTATGGTACAGTCAAAGCTAGAAGCATTCCTGTTCCAAAAGCTTTAAACTAAAAAACCTCTTGGTAAGTACTTGTAGGGTAACAGACACACTGGATCCTGTCACAGTCATTTATGAATGATCTTAAGTTTTTGCTGTGTTGTAAGAAATTTAAAATGCCCTTTCTAAAGATAAAAGCAAGATTTTACTATTGACCACAGATAAATAATATACCTCTACTAGTGCAAGGAATATACTATTATTCTGCAATATTTATGTATTTATATTTATTTATTAGACTGTTTAAAGAGGATAAGAGTGTCTGGTTACATTTTACAGTTTGGATGTTGTCTCTGATTTTGACTGATAAATGTGTATTTCTAACAGCTATGTGTAAGTAAAGCTGTGCATAGTAAAGTAGATAGCTTTATCGATCTGGTAAATAATCAGTAATAAATTATGACTTAAGATTTTTAAACAATGTTCTTGGTTACCATAACTTGAAGGGCTACCCTTAAAGCATAGCACGTAGGGCTTTAACAATATAATTTGTCTTTCATCGCAGTGGAAGGACATAGCAGAATCCTTGAATATGTTCCAAAATTACCATCAGACTTTTTTTTTCTGTCCTTCATAGGCTAAGCATACCTGATCTTCAGATTTACATTTTTATTGAAATGGATTGCAGTGATTGATTTTTAAACTAACTTAAGATTGACACAAAGTAGGAGCAGGCAGGGCAGCAATAAATATTTTAATTTTCTCTGTTGAGATCTGCTGGTATTTCCAGTTTTGTGGAGAAAATTTCTGGATTTTATCACTGTTCCCAGTAGGCTCATGTAATCCTATAGAACAAGACTGTCTAGAACATCTGTCAGTTTTCTGTAGAAAATGGAGAGTCATAATGCTTTCAAGGTATTAAAAAAAAAAAAAGTTTTAAAGCAAACTTCTTAGTGCTTTGCACAGGAGGGGAATTCAGCAGAAACCTCCAGTTAGTCAAAGATTATTTTTCTCACCTCAATTTTACAATCTAAAAAGTCCATTCACCTTCGTGTTGCTGCTGTACAAAGAGGAAGAGGAAGGGCAGCCTCAAAGAAACATGATGCCCCTAGTCCCGAGGAGGAGATTGCTCTCCTCTACCAAAGTCCAGCCTGCTTGCCCAGGGGAGATGGACACGCTGCAATCAGTCAGGTTCAGGTTGCTCTGAATTGTAAATAAACCCTGAGATTTCAGTTTACAGCAGATACCTGTTTGGCTCTAAAACCAAATGCAAAAGGGTGCTTTCCTTTTAGCTCCAAAGATTTGAGTTCTTGAGAGTATTAGCATCAACAGAAGCTGAGGACCATCAGCATTTTATGGACCTCAAAAATATTCTTTGCTAAGAAGATACTTTTCTGGATGCCATGTGGTCATAACACATGCTCCACCCAAACCTGTGTGTCTGCTCTTGGGTGGAAAAAGCTGTCAGGCTACTGTTACCCTGCCTGATATTAAGTACCTGACAAGATTAGATCCAAAAATGAACTGTAGAAGTGATTTAGAAAAAAAAATACTCTTAAGTCATTTAAAGCAGGTCTTCATGTATCGTGAGAGTAGAGGAGGAAGGAAAAAAAAGAGAAGCTATGTGCAGTGTTCACAGGTCAATTTAATATGGTTGGCTTGTATTAGAAATGTATTTAAACGTTGGTTTGGTTATGAGTCTTCTTTTCTGTAAGTTCACTCACAAACTTATAATAGATTTGTTCATTTTTAAGTCCTTGGCACTGTTGGTTTTGGGTGTAATATGATGTGCTGGACCGTATTGACTGTCTAAATGGCCTAGATGTGAGCAATTTTCTATTTAAAAAAATAAAATTATATCTCACTCTCTGAAGTCCCTGAATCATTTCCATAGTAACTTCTCTTCACCAGTATCTACAATGTAATAATGTGTGTCTAGGAAAGATCTATAGGTAAGAAATTATATGTTTCTTAATTCATATACCGGTAAGTAAATCATGCTGTCCTGCAGTTCACAGATGCGTTGTATAGTTTAGGAATAATGACTCTCTGAAGTTCGAGGGCATTTGTCTCTACCTTTAACACAAGAGGTTGCGAACTCCAGAAGATCAACAACTTCCCCACATTCTTACATAGGAATTCACCACCTAATTTCATTAGGCATGACATACGAATTATAACAGCTCCTTGAAGACCTGAAGGAAAAGTGTCACTGCATGGATCACTAAGAATTGGTGATCAAAACCTTAATTGCCAATTTTCAAATGCCACTAACCTTACTTCTATCAGGTTATTTTGTTTTGTTGCTTTCTACCAGTGGGAAAGCCTTACAGAGCAATCAACATGCTCGGGATGAGAGAAGTAGATAAGCGAGATTTGGGCTTATGTTAGTGCCTGCACCATTGTCCCCTGCTCAATGACTCTGAACTGATGGATAGTTCTCTTCAGAGGACAGATGGACAGCTGCTCCTCTTCAGAGGTCAAGGTAAGTTTTAGTGTATTTGAACTGAGGTTTTTCTTCTACTGTCATGTCCTTTCCCCTCCATCTTGTGTGCCTCAGAGGCAGATGAGCATGGTGGTGACTCCTCTGATAATACCACACATAAATTCTCAGGACTGCACAGGAATTAACTGCCTGCTGGCTTTATTGGAAGTAATACGTCAAACTTTTATCTGTGTTCAAAACCTTGAGGCCACGTTGACTTCTCAGCCAACTGGTCAACAGCTGGAGGAGTTGACTGGCCCAAGAGTAGGATGTGGGTGGAAATGCTACCACAGGACTTTACAGAGGCTCCCCTCCTGTTCACAGCACACACACACCCTTGTCCCCTCTTCAGAAGATCATAGGTCTAAAGAAAAATCAGTTGTACAAGAAGTTCAGGAAAAGAATTTTGTAAGCCATTATTTGACTCAAGATCAATCCATTTGCCCCCAAGGTAAAGGAAAGCCTCCCTGATTTTTAGGGTATTTGGCCAGGTTTCTCTGGGCACAGGAAACAAACTTAGAGGTCTTGTGCTTTGAAACCTCTGCTTTTTAGCCCAATGCATATCTGATTTCGACTAAGGATTTCACTTCAGTTCAGTAGTCTCTTTCCAGAAAGATATACTCTGTTTTCTTTCTTGAGCAAGTAACAGGATGTGGCTTAGCAGATTGGAGATTCTGTACATTTTTTAAGACTTTGCTACTGTTAAGATCTAAAACTGTCTCTGCTGGCTTTTGCACGGACCATACAGTTTTTGCATAGTTTAGCACGATGGACTTACCATGTTAGCATGCAAATACTACCATTGCAGTCTTCATGGCAGCCACATCTCATGAACGTAGATCCTGGCAAATACTTTGTGATGAGTTAAGGTATTTGCTGGATTTCACCTAAATCTCTTTGCCTAGTATTTATGAACAAATTGTGGTTTCTTCTGTTGGTTCTAATGAACTACGAAAAGAGAGCTGGTGGCCCTGCACACCAGCAATGCGCTTGCTGGAATAGTCATGTAACACAGATGTACAAAATTACAGGCACAAGCGAAGCTTATTAAGAAAAAAATCATAACATCGTTTTCTTTCTAAAACTATCTCAAGAAGGTCAGATGTAAATACAGGTAAACTTGGCCCAGTATTTATAAATAACTGATTGATGGAACAACATGTTATCAGAAGCATTAAATACCAGGATGATGTTCTCATCTTACTGAAAATTTTAAAACCCACTTTCTTTCCTTTGAAACTTTCCAAACAATTAATCTCTGTGACTGTATACAACATATTATCTTTTG